CACTTCCTCAAAAAAAACCCAAGACAACCCAAAACCAAAAAACCCAACCCCTTCAGGGCTGCAGTCTCTGATTTAGGGGAAAACCAGTACAAGCTAAAGCTTGACCCCAACAGTTCAATAGAGAAGATAAAAACTGTGGTAATGACTGCATCTGAGCACTCAGGGGAAGTATGTACAGATCTTTTCCCTTGGTTTCCCTGCACAGCAAGGCACAGACCCGGTTTTCGGGAGAAAACCTGAATCTTTGCTCTTTGTTGCCCCACTAAACTCTTCTGTTACCTTGTCTTGCTGCTTTCCAAACCTGTCAAGAGCTTTGACACACTGCAGCAACAAAATCTGCAGTTTCAGTGGGATTGTTTGCAAGCACGTGATCAGGTTTGGGATGATCCTGCAGTCCCCAGGATGTACAATCATTTTACACACTGTTCAATCAAAACAAAACAGTACATACTAAATATTCCAGATATAGCATTTGGTTTGGGTTTGCAGCCCAAAATACAGTAAAATTATGTATTTTTTGGCTTCTGGAAGTGCAAAATGACTCATGGGTGGTTGGGCTTTTTTCAGTATTTTTGTGGCTTCCCACTGGGCACTCACAGTCCCTTTTTCTAGTTGTTATGCCCTCTGAAACAGGAGGAAATTTCCACAAGAGCACCTGAACAAGCGTGTGGCATTACATACTCAGGCAACCTATCAGCTGCTGGGGTGGTTTTCTGGATCAGTGGCAGCTGGAAGGGTGAACATGGAGGAGAAAAGTACTATGGGACTTCGCCATGCACAGGGAGCCAAACAGCCAGACCCTTGTGTTGGCTCTGCAGAAGACAACATTGTCAGGGACAACATGGATGCTAGGCTCCCTCCTTCATGCACGAGGCTAATGAGTGTGCTTAGCAGTGTACAGCCTCTGAAAGGCAACAATGCAGTAGTTACTGGAAACCTCAGAGGTGTGTTTGCTTTTGGAAGGGTATTTTGAGGCATTTATTGTCTCTGTAGCATTGTGCAGCCACCTTGTAGCACTCTTCTTAAAATTAGGCTCTTTATTTAGAGGGTTTTTTTAAAATGTATGATACTTTTCTGGTCTGGCCATGGTTTTCTTCTTCATACTCTTCTGCTGGTTGACTGCTTGGTTTCTTTTCCTCTTTGTACATTTAAACTTGCAGTTTGAGGAAACACACAGCCTAGAAAGTTAATAAAACAAGCTTTTCCTGTGGACCACCAAGCGCAGTGCAGCTATTGTTGCAGTGGTACTGATGTACTGACCCAAAGATAATAGTAAATAGTATCACTAGCAGAAAGAAAGCTGGAAAATAAAGACTCTATTTTTTTAAAATACCTCACCAGTGCTTCCACATAAAGAATGTGGACCCCTTCAGAGAAGGTCCCCTACAAATGCCAACAGGAGCAATGAAAACTGTCATTCATGATGACAAATGGTTCTACCTAGCAGGCTCGTATCACATTGAGCCAAGGGAAAAATGCTTGTATTTCCTCTGCTGTGAAAAATGTCATGCTTCATTTCTTAATTGCTCTAGCTTGACCAACTGGCTGGGCTTTCAGACAAAATAAGAAGAGAATTCTTGTTCCAGGTACTCTTGGATGTGGTCTACACTTGCCTGGGCTGGCAGGGCTTGATCTCTCTGTAGGAGAGATCACCAGCCAAATGCCCTGCTGATGCACAGGGAGTGCCTGGCTTCTGCCAAGTAAGGGTGGAGGGCAGGCTCCAAGCAAAAGTGACCCTTAGAAACTGCATACACGTGAGACAGCTCAGCATGAAGTTGTCCTTACACATAGAGGACAAGGCAAACTGAACTGACCCTCGCTGTTAAACAGGGGGTGTAACTGTCCCTCTTTCTGCTCATTTGTTTCCTGGATGTAAGAGGCCTGTCTTGGCTGTAGTTGTGAATTAACATAATTTTGGAAAATGTCCTAACCATAATGACAAGAAGTCCTTCACTTGCATTGGTCTACCACAACTGTGACAAGCAGAGAACATGTTCTTCATGGATTTCAGTATGATGGCTGGCTTTGAGCACTAAAAACCATATAGATCCTGTGCAGACATGATGGTAGGAGCAGAAAATCTAATCCAAGGTAGTCATGCTTTGAAATTTTCTTTGAATGGATGTGAGAAGAGGAGGTTAGATTTTAAGTCACTTGTCACTACTATTTGGCAAACCACAGGGACCTCAGAGCTGTTTTTCCTCTCTATGTAGCAAAGTGAATCTAGATTGTCATCAATGCTGTTCTCAGCAGGCTGGCTGCAGAAGATGAATTTAGATTTCATTATGCTATAATACAGTATGTGTAGGAAACAGACTTATGGAGGCACGTCATGGAACCTGTCCCAGGTATAAGCGCATTAGATGTGATGCCAGGTCTTGGCAAGGATAAGGAGTCAGTTTCGGTAACTATCAGTGGCAGACCCCTTCTTCCTTCCATGCAACAATAAAACAGGAGACTAAAACATCTTCTCTACATTGTTTCCTCCCACAGTGAAACCAGTCCAGGGTCCACTGTCTCATGACCATTGCAGTGACTACTTGCAAAGCATCCCATACTGTTGTATGCCTTGGCACACCATACTCCCCTGAGCACGGAGTCCTTTTTTCCTCCCCAGGGTGCATGAACTCCCCTCAGGCTGTGACCTTGCCTAGCACCCTGCTCTGTTATGGTAATGGAGCATGCTGGACACAAGAGTCCTTGGAAAGAGCAGCTTTGTGCTTTGTTAGTGCATACACCATTGCCAAGACTGTGATGCTGTCTATCCCCCTCCCTGAGTGAGAAGCAACTGTGCACCCGTTGCTTTGTCTTGTGCCAGGCAGGGCAGCCGAGGAGACAGAGTCTACTCACCCGCGGTCTCCCATCTGGGTGAACAGGGAGATGTCCACTTGGTTTGCCTTGTGATGTGTCCGCTAATAGAGGCTACCTCTCCTTTGTACCTTGCCTGCTACTCTTTACATTACTGTGGCTATCACGACCCTCCTTTTAAACAGACATTTTCTTCAGCAGCTGGCACATCCAGACGCTGCAGTCTGTCCAGCCAGCCATGGAGGCTGAGGAGCTGTGTCCATGCTCATGACCTGCTTGCTTCTGGCATATTCCTGCATTGCTTCCTGATTTAGGGACCCATGGGAGCAGTGTTTTGTGGATTTTCAGGCTGGTTGGTTTAGCCACTTGTTGATGCCACAGTGACCCTTCTACTACAGGGACTCTACTGCCAAGGGATTTTCTGTCCCTCCCCAGAGGAGACAGGCACCTTTTTACATCATGCAAGATAAACACTTCAGGTGACTCTGGATGCTTTTTAAAAACACCTTGAGTGGAGTTTGCAAGACCATGGGCTTGGGACAAGTCATTAATCCTCTGAGCTGATTAACTTCTAGCATCTGTAGTGTGTGCAGAGATGGAGGGAAGCAAAGCTTCGTTTCTGGTATGTATGACCATTTAGATTACCTCTTTCCTATTGTGGACAATCAAAAGGGACGACTGGAATTAAATTTGTTGTAATGGACATTGACATAATGTAGATAAAGTGCTTAAAGAAATGCTGATTTCCTGAAGGGATGGGTTTCACATTCACATGTGAAACCCAACTAAAAAAAGGTTTTATGTAACTCCTCCTGGCAGACTTTGAAAATGTACAGTCATAGCCCTAAAAAGTCCTCTTTACCACCCCCAACATTCAAATTACTGCAAGAAAATACCATCAGAAAAAGAAGGGCTGGAGCAAAATCTTTGGAGCTAAGACACCTCTCCTAAACCTGGAATTGCTTGCTAAAATTTACGTGAAATTAGCTGGAGGATTTCTTTGCTCTTTTGTTCATGAAGAGGACTGTGAGCTCCTGCCATGAATGAGTGACTTTAGTTGAGAGTACTGATCTCCTCTCTCTTCCAGGTCAATGCAGTTGCTAACATTTCAAAACAGAAAGCTGCTTACCCTGCCTGAGTGGCTGGGGGGCGCCCTAAAAAAAAACCCCCTGCCACTTGTATGGCACGATGCTGGAGGGCTGGACTTTCAGGGTCCTGCTTACCCCTCCAGGAAGAGCACCTGGTGCACTACACATTTTCTGAAAGATTGTGAGAGCTTTAGAAAGTTTAAATATTTGAGGACTCTGTCAAATTGGTTTGCAACTGCACGAAGGTTTGTACATCTCTCTCTCTATTCCTTGTTCCCTCCATGACAGTCACGGTGTGTTGGAAACCAGCCCATAATACTGGCTATGGAAAGGGTAGGATGAGGAAAGGAGCACTAACTTGTTCAGCTGTTTGCTGTGTTGACAGGGTGAAGGCAGTCAAAATTGTTCTCCTGGCTTGTTTTTCCCATGTAGATGAAAGAAATTATCTCTATATATCATGGTTTATCATACAGAATCCTCTTCATCATGAAAAAAGGGATTTGGATTATTATGTTAAAATTTTCTATGGGTCAAACCTCCAATTCTGAAAAAGCATGTTGCAGTCAAGACAATCAGAGGGCTGTGCCTCCAGGTTTCGCTTTTATATATTTCTAACCTCATTTCAGGGCAGGCTCCTTCAACTGCAGTGCATGGTAAAGACATGATGGGAGAAGAGGCAATGTCATTATAATGTCTAATGAAAAAGTGTAAAAGTGCAGTGATGCTAGCTTTGAACACCGCACATGGTCTTCAGTTATTGCGTCCCGCATGGCTCTAAGAAGAATACATCATTAATAATTTGTAGTAACACATGGCTTCTAATTTATTGAATTCTTTTTTCTGTTTAAAACAAATGGAAGAAACTACATAACTAATCTCCTTGCAGCTCATGTTGTATCAGAGATGGCTGTGCTTTTAGGAGAAAATTCACTCCTCCAAAGTGTCAAAGCATGTACTCCAGCATTTAGGGAGGATGCTTAGCCAAAGACAGTCTGCTTTCATCTCTGTTAGCCTGATTAAGAGGAAAAGTATGGTCCCTACACCAGATATCAGATTTGTTATGCTGAGTGGGTGCCGTAGAGAACAGAACAGCAAGTAACTTACCACGTCAATTATCTGCAGCAAAGAAAGCTGAAGCTCAACTACAAGGGGTTGGGAGTCATTCACTACCGGTCGTTCAAGACGATTATAGTTTCTCAGCAGTTCTCTATACAAGTGTCTCTGGCTTTCACCCTGCTGAGACGCTAGGGGAAAAGAAAGAAGTGATCTGTCATTCGGGCTGGTCACACTGTCCCCATTGTCTGTTTTGTTGTAAAACCCCTCTTAATGGGTTTGTAATTTGAAAACAGTTCCCCAAAAATCCCCACAATACTGCACATGGGTGTGACAGACACAGCTTTCCTGCATACATGACTGATGAGCTCTTAAAAAAAATTAACTACTGACACCCTAACTCATTACTAACACTCAAAAACTACTGAACAGCTTTTGGGGCTCTGAGTAAATGTCCCCCTCCCTTGTTGCCCCTCCTGCTGATGGTCAGTAGAGACATGGCTCCAAAACCACCAGACAGCTTCCTGGAAGGCAGTCAGAGTGCTTTTATTTGCTTGTTGTTATACCCTAGAGACTGGCTGCTGTAAGTCAGCGCTGGTATTACTTGTACATATTGTGTATTTACCCAGCATGAGTAACAGGTATTCTTAGTTCTTGGAGCTGAGGTATCAGGCCCTTTTCTGTGCTCAGAAAACAGTAACAAGCCTTCTTCAAACCCTCTTCAGTTTTGTGTGGCAGTCTTTTCCAGGGTTTGGGTTACTTCCCTTGCCTTTTTCCCTTCTAATGGCAGCACACTTTGTTACACCTAATGAGGTGGGGTTATGAAGGCTGGAGTATTTGGCAGATATGTATAATGATATTGAATTTCTGCTTAACTCGGCTTCCACTGGGAACAGCCTCAACACAGAAGGTGTTCATGCAAACACATGAGCATGTTAAAGACCAGCAGAATTTCAGTCTATGCTTAAATTGCAAGATGCCCCTGTTCCCCAGCTTTGGGGTTGGTGTGGAGAGCATCCATCTAACCTGCGTGACCAGGTTTCCTTGCCACAACAACCATGGATGGGGCAGGGTAGCAGTGATGGCTTGGGTCTCTTCCCACAGGAAGGGGAGCACTTTGCTGGGACACGCTGCCCAGGAGCTTGGGTCCCCCATAACAGTGTAGGTGTTGGTGCTCTGGCCAGTGGCAGACTGAGCTCTACCTAAGAGCTGCATCTAACAGAGTGAGAGGGTTATGGGCTGCAGGTTCCCTGAGGCCAAACCAGTCCTGTCAGCATGAGTGCATATTCCCTGAACTGTAGAAATCCAAACCCTGGCAGGAAATCTGCACTCTAAACTATTATTACTTTGGACTGAAGCATTTTTTATCCACTGCAGCTCCCAGTCTCTGTGTGTGACTTTTTTTTAACTCTTGAGCAGAGCTCTGCACATTGATACCAGGACTCCTCTCACAGTGGTTATGATGAATATCTTTTTGACAATGCAAACAAACCATAACAACCAGTTCTGCCTTCTCCAGACTTTTACTGTGCTCAGCAAACCTTGCAAGCCTGGAACAAGCTGCTCTCCAACACAGCAGCAATGCCTTTTAAAGCTAATAATAAATTTATTTTATAAAAAGTTTATAAGCCTGTTTAATTTGTGTTGAGTTTTCCTGATACTAAAGGGAGCTTTGTGGCTTTCCAGTCTGGCAGTGCCTAGTGAACAAGGAGGAAGAGTGGTTTTGTTTGTTTTGGTAAGTTACACCAATACATCATCTTCATGGGCCCTCTCTGCTCTTGCATAATACATTACATGATCATGGGGATCCAGAGGAGCAGATGCTGTAAGTGCTGCTCCAATAGCCCATGCTGACACATCAGTATTGGATGCTATGTTTTCACCATCAGCAAAGACAAGCTGTGGCCACAGTATCTCTCCTTCACCAGCTTAAGTAAGCTTCCCTGCAAGGCATTGATTTAGATCCTCTGTTATGGCTGTCATATTTGCTTTCCAGTGCCTCAGCAGACCCCGACTCCCTTGTAAGATCCTTCTGTGGAAAGGAAACCAGTGAAAATCATTACACATTGTTCTATGGAAAGAGGGTCTGTTTTTGAACAAATTTGCTGTCCCTTCACTCACCTGCCCACCCCACCACCACCACCACCCTATGTTCCTGTGCTTTAGGGAGGAAATGACTGCCTGCACTGCTGCTCTCATCTTGAGTATTTATGTAATATTTGCCTTTAACCTTCCTTTTAAACTGGCTGCCTCAGCTTTTACAAGGGAAAAGTGCCCTTCACCAATCTCTGGAAGTCAGCTGGGCTGCTAGAGTTCCCTGGTACCATCGCCGCCGTGGTGCATTAAAGCAGTACGACCCCAAGGAAGGTCTGACTTACTTGGAAAGATCCGAGCATAATCCTTTGCTGTGTGCTTCAGCAAGCTGTCTTTGTGCTGTGTGCTCCAACCATGCTGAAGCCAGGGCCCTTTCCCTGTTAAACTTTGTGAGCTGAAGTAGCCCAGTACTGCAGTTTTGCACCTGGTTTTCTATCCTTTCTTCAACTCTCCCCTCTGTAATGTGACCCTATTACTTTGCGACCTCTTGTATCCAAAATTGTTAGCATAGCCTTAGCTGATCTATTCTTAGCCTGCTGAGTTGGCATTGGTGACCACATGTTTGTGTGCCACATGGTTTTGCTTACAAAATTACATAGATTCAGAAGCAGTGGAGACTTTGGGGTGTCCTGGCAAATAGCCATGGCAGCTGTTGGTACCACAAAGACCTGGCTAATCTAATCACACTGCCATCTCTCTGCTACAGCTGCTTTGGAGAAGGAAATGAGGTAGGTGACAAGTCAGACTTGTATTTTCATAGACTTTTTCTTTAAATTGTAATCTTCAAATACTTAAAGTTTCATAGTCCAGAGAGATTTCTGCTTTTTTCTCCTCTAATGCTTGTGCTAATGCATTGTGACACTACATCCCTGTGTGCTAAATGGAGTGTTTGCTGGTGATGGGGAAGTCTGGACCTCTCAGGAGTAGTGGTAGAATAAGCTTTACCACTGCCTATCCCTCAGTCACAGAAATGTAACCAAAAGTAGTGACACTGTTTCATCTTTTAAACTAGGCTGGAAGCTAGATGTCAATACTTAAGGTTGCTAGGTCAGTCTCCCAAAAGCAATGCCAGACTTACTTGCCTATGTATTTTACAGGAAAGTACAAGTAACTGGCAAAGGGCACGATGCTTTCTAGATAAAGGATCTTTGAGCAACAGAGAGCCTTTTATGTCTCACTGCCTCAGACTGTGTCCCCCTCATTTCTGAATTATCTTTGAAGCAGTAGGAAAACATACAATCTCATTAAAATTTGAGGGAAGAGCAGTGTATGATGTTTATCTCAAGTTTAGCAAGACTTTTGACACCATCTCTGAGAACATCCTCATAGACTTTTGTATGAGGATGAGCAGACAACTGCTAGCTAAAAGTGAACAGTGAGGTGGATTGAAAAGTGGCTGAACTGTCAGGCTCAGAGGGTTGTAGTCAGCAGCACAAAGTCCAGCTGAAGGCCAGCCAGTGGTGGAGTACTCCAGGGGTGAATACTGGGGCCAATGCTGTTTAACATCGTTATGAGTGATGGGACAGAGTGCACCATCAGCAAGTTTTCAGATGGTGCAAAAGTGGGAGGAGTGGCCGATACAGCACATGGTTTTGCTACCATTCAGAGAGACCTCGAAAAACTGAAGAAATGGCTGACAGGAACCTCATGAAGTTCAATGAAAGGAAGTGCAAAGTCCTGCACCTGAAGAGGAGTAACCCCAGGCACCAGGATAGGCTGGGGGCCCACTGGCTGGAGAGCAGGTTGGCAGAAAAGCCCTGGGGGTCCTTATAGATATCAAGTTGGCCATAAACTGGCAATGCACCCTTACAGCAAAGGCCACCGGCATCCTGAGCTGCATCATGCAGAGCCTCACCAGTAGGTCAAGAGAGGTGATCCTTCCTCTCTAGTCAGCACTGGTGAGACACACCTGGAGTGCTGGGTCCAGTTCTGGGCTCCTCAGTACAAAGGAGACATGGAGTTACTAGACCAAAGACTAGGTTGTCCCTCAAGCTTTACTCTCTGAATAATCCGAAATGGTTCCCTAAACTGCTCCTGGAGTTTGCAGGCAACTGGGAGGCACAAGGTAACCAATCCGCTGGTGGTTTTGTGAAAAGCTCTATGGACAACAGAGGTATTCATGGACTACGTTCAACTCTTAAATACCTCTCTGAATCTCCTCCCATGCTTCTGCATGTGCAAAGAAGTCTGCAAGAACCCCACTGATTGATCAACATGACCTATAAACTGCTACCAATCTCTTGGGAATACATGCTATAGTTGAATTTCATCTTTCTTTCTAGGATGGAATTGCTGAGAATTGCACAGCAAGGTAAGATGCCTAGGAGCTATTTCTCTATTGCAGAATGCTACCACCTCCTCTAACAGGAGATACAAGTCCCTTCAAATGCATTACTGTGAGACCAGGGAACTCCCCAGATAGGGTGGTACTGTGTGGTATCTTCCGTGCTGGATCAGGGAACCCTATGATGTGAAGGAAGAACCTGTAGCAAGAAAACAGAAGATGGCAGCTTCCCTATGGGATTATTTCTGAAATGTATTTGAAAAGCTGTCCATCACCTCCTTTGTTCCCCTACAACATGCTTGCCTTGAATTATTTCAGCAGGGAATAAAGCAAATCATCTTGCTGTTAGCTTACAGTCTGAGCTCTGTCTTTCCTTCTACACGCATGGTCTGCATGTGAGATTTCATCCTCTATTAAATGCAGACATGTTGCAATGTCCCAGACAGGTTAGGCTGATAGACTGGGACTGAAACATGGGATAATTGTACATTTAAAAAAAAAAAATTGCAAGCCTAGAAGCAAGTTAATAACTGCATCCATGTACTTGGACAAAGTGTGGATTCATAGCTAGAGGGAGAGAGGCACCTCTGATGAGGCTTGCACAGACAGTGTCTCATACTGACTGTGAGCCTTCATGGTACCTGTAAAGTGGTTTGAATTCTCTGAGACACTGCAATTAAATTAGATCAAGCTGGTACTGGCTGATGTCAGCTCCAAGTCAGCAGCTGTGCATGCCCAGGCTCAGACTGAAGAGCTTCAGACTGAAAAGAAAAAGGAAAAGGAAAAGGAAAAGGAAGAGGAAAAGGAAAAGGA